TTGAAATGGTAAATTGGCCACCGTAACGATTACAAAAGCTGACGTTTCGAGCGTTAGCTCTTCGTCGGAGCGAAAGGGCTAACGAAGGGCTAACGCTCGAAACGTCAGCTTTTGTAATCGTTACGGTGGCCAATTTACCATTTCAAGTTTGTTGATATATCCTAATTAAAATAAGCGTAGCATTCAGCTTATCTGCCCTTAGAGGGGCCGTAAGAGTGGCTGTCACTACCAGAACTTAAATCGGGAATACCATTCGTCTCGTTTAGATGCCTCCTCTTTAATCTGCTATACAGCTTCATCAAGATCTTTTGATTTGGACAGAATTTCAGCTTGACGTTTGGTTTGTTCGTAGTATTGAACGCGCTCTTTCCATCCCGGCTTGGCTTCAATGATTCTTCTCGGACTCAATGAGTAGCTCCAAATGCTCTGTCTTGGTCAGGGGGTTGGGTTTGAGGGAAATTTCATCGAGGCGTTTGAGGCTTTGCTAAGCTTTGAACATCATTGAAAGGATTTCGTTATGCGTTTTCACAAGATCCTCTTCTAGTTGCTCAATCATTGCTTGTTTTTCGCTCTTCCTTGACTTAGCCACTTCGTACTTCTTTTTGAGATCTTCGCAGGTTCTGGTCTCAGTGACCGTCTCGTACTCATAAATGTAAGGAACACTCTTGTGGTCGTTCTAGAAGCATTTTGGTGTGCACACTGTGCAGTAACCAGTTCACCGGTCCACGACGGCACAAGATCTTATGTCATTGTCATTTGCAAATGAAAAATCACGGTAACACGTAAAGTTGCAGCGAAGACATATGATAGATTATCTTCCCGTCCCAGCGAGGTCAATCATTTTTACCTTGGCAATTTCAACTTTGAACGTAAATTCTTTGTTCTGTTCCATCTCCGTTTCATGTTGTCTCAATAAATTCTCTTCATGTCGCATTTATTCAGTTTTGCTGAGGCCCTTGTGGATCAGCGGGGTCAGCCCTTCAACCGTGCATTGTAGCTGTTCGCGTTCCTTTAATTTAGTACCTCTTGAGTGAGCTGGAGGCTGACACTGCGACTTTTCGAAACTGGAGAAGAATGTTTTGAAGGAAGTAGTCCCCATCTTTCAAATCATCGAGTCCAATTCATCATCATCCTCTTCGTCTTCGTCTACGGTGTTTTGGGCCTTTCGAGCATTATTTGCGAAAAGGGCTGAATTGTTGAATTTTTAAAACCTGTGCGCTGGGATATTGGCTTTCTTTATGGCTTCCATCACTAGGGGAGCTTGACCTTCGGCAAACGTAACCAGCATAAAATTATTTTTAGCCACATCTTTTCCAAACATGGACAGGATGGAGTCGAAGATATACTCTTGTGCGGGAGTCAGGCGGGCCAAGGAAGCTTGAGTGACAAAACCAATGCCATCGAGGTGATAGATACCATCTGGAGGAAGAATTGAAAAAAACTCCTTTATCAGGTCTGTGGTTTCTTTGTCTCTTTTAATTCCCTTTGTGTCTCCAAAGCCTGGGGCGTCAATAATGGTGAACGTATAAGGAATAGCGGAGCCTTTCAATGGGTGGAACGTGTAGGCGGTGATTTCCTTTGTTTGACTGTGAGCTTGTGATGCCTTGCAATCTTCTACGACGATTTTGTAACGGAACTCATCTGCCCACTCTACGCCCAGGATGTAGTTGACCATGCCGTTGATAAGCGTTGTCTTTCCGACTCCCTTTGCGCCAACAACCATGAGCACTTTCTCAGTTCCTCCACGACCGACATCGCTAGGGCTGCCGATGCTTTTCTTAATAATCTTAGGCCTATCTCGCATCAATTTCAGTTCTGCTGAAAGCTGATAAACTAAAGGGGGCCCGTCTGATATCTTTACTGATTTTTGGAGCAACCTGTCAGCTAAGCGGAGTCGATGGCCTGCAGTCGTCTTTCTTTCCTCATCTGATGGAGATCCCTTAGAAAAACTGTCAGACCCTTGACGCATATTTTGAAGTGGGGATGGATTACTTGACGTATTTCCTGCGTTGCGTTTCCACGTTTACCTTCCGTCCAAGGCGGGCAGTTGTGCTGCAAAACAAATCAGAAGTGACAGGCGATCTTTGCGACTACTTAAGGGCTCGTTAAATTTTTGGTGGAGTTTGGTTTTTGACGGTGAGAGATCTGGATGCCAATAAAGTGCGAGCTTTAACATATTTATACCCTTCCTATTGTCAATAAGTAAGAAAAATTCACAGGACCAATTTTAAGTTAGAGGATGAAAAGAACAAGTACAACGAATCTCGCAAAATATGCCACGATAATTCCCTGTTTAACAGAGAAAAAAAACGGGTGTATCCATTGCATAAAAAAGTCGAGCTACTAAAGTGGAAGTTTGTGTAGCTGGCGTTTCATCTCAGAGAATATTCCCAGTGTCCTTACACAAGCTATATCATTTCACCACATTTTGTGCCCAGACTTAGAAACAACTACGTTAGGCGCAACTGCTTTCATTTGTTAATGCTTCGATATTTGAAAGGGCAGGATTATTTATTAATAAATTGGAGAAGAGACGAATTATTTATAAGAATCTATCAGCCTTTATTTATAAGAATATATATATTTTCAGAAGAAAATAACTAGAACGTCCATACGAGCTGAGGGAAAGAGAAATTTAATTAGCGGTTAAAAAGAATCTTGGGGAGATCAAGCCGACTTAATATGAACATGGTCTCGGTGTTTAAATCATTTCGGTAGACAAGCGAAGCGAATTTTCCAGTGGGAAAGGGCAGGGCTGAACTGAGGTAAAAGCGTTAACATTGGGTCGAAGGAGGGGGTGGAGAAGTCCAGCCATTGATCATCTTTCACTGGATGAACTCGCATTTAAAATAAAGGATAGCTTGCAATTCATATTATAGGCAACAAATGTCATAGCCTTTTGTGATATATTCAGCAACAACGGCTTTCCTAGCCAAAAATTATTATGATAATCAGATCATTGTATCAAGTTCTGCATCTTTTCGCTTGTATAAATGATCAAATCATATCCTCAAGCAGTCTGTATGATATCAACTCTTTATCATTGTGATAACATGTTAAGTATGTCGGAATTCTTAATTTACTGTACTGGAATGGCACATAACAATCAACAGTTTCGAGTAAGTGTTCTAATCAAGAGTCGTGTAAATGACGAACATATATATGGTAAATGATCAGTTCCCCTCAAAAAAAAAAAAAAAAATACTAACCCCTTAAATCAACGTACAGAATTAATGTCAATCACGATTTTTTCATCGAATAAATCTATTACTTAGAGACAGTGACTTTTTGAAGGTAATTACTGGTACTAAGGAAAATGGTACGTCTTTTAAAAGGTTCTTCTGAAATCTCTGTTCAAACAATACAAGATGGTGGCCCTTAGATACAGTATGGCGACCCATCGATTCTGGTTAAATTTTTTTTTTTTTTTTTTTTTTTTTTTCTGTGTACCTATCTTGCGTTCTATCTTACGACATGAATGCCGATGCACTGAAATGAAGTGAATAATTCTTTTAGATTGTAACGCCTTTATTCTTATAGAAAATAATGCGAAATTAGTCTAAGATAAACGATAACTCTTATAAATCTTGGTCCAAGACATTAAAAATTTCTCCAAAAAGGTTACTCTCTTTAAATTCTCTCTGGAAAAAACGCCTGTCTCAATATCTCAATGCCCAAGTTTTAAGGTACTATTACAAATACAAATATAACAATAAATAAGGTAATAATTTGGATATATCAACAAAGTTTAAATGGTTAATTGGCCATCGTAACGATTACTGAAGCTGACGTTTCGAGCGTTAGCCCTTCGTCGGAGCGAATAGAGGAATTGTGGGTTGTGTGTGCTTTTTCTGCCTTTAAAAGCACACACACCCCAGAATTCCTCTATTTGCTCCGACGAAGGGTTAACGCTCGAAACGTCAGCTTTTGTAATCGTTACGGTGGCCAATTTACCATTTAAACTTTGTCGATATATCCAATAAATAAGGTAAAAGATAGTTCCTATATATCTTGCTTCAAGGCAATAAAAATTCTGAAAAAGTTACTTTTTAAAAACTCTCTAGAAAGAATCGCTTATCTCAATATTTCAATTCTTAAAAGTTCTATGGTACCATTACAAAAGCACTGATTTGATTTCTATAGTTGTACTCCGCCTGATGAAGTGTACAAATACCCTATGTTATCAATTGAAAGGTAAGGTCAAAATAAGACAAAATGGAATACGGGGTGTGTAGGCTTTAAAGGGAATGAGAAGCAAAACATTCGTAGGCAAGGTTAAGATTATCCACCAATCAGTGAGGACATAGCTTGACTTTTGAAATTTGATTGGTCGCAAAAATGCTATAAGTACCGTCTGACACTGAACAACATAGAAGCTCGCGACAGTCACAAGGACGCTCCCAGAGCCATATTTACGTGAAGCTGATGAATAAAATACACCGGAAATAATAACCATCCAATTAGGTGGCACCACAACGACCAAGTCAAGCATACGCTGATTATTCAGATTAATTGTAGTTTTTAGCATGGGAGAGGTAATTGAGCAAAGACATTTCAAGTTTTAGCTTCCTCTGTTTCTGGAAAATAATGCATTTCACGATGAAACATCGTCAGCGGAGATTTGTAGCCTTCCATCCCTATAAATGACCTTCATCAACTGAGGGTGTCTATCAGTTCCCGAATTAGGTAATCATGATGCCGATCAGCCATGATGTATTTTGGACACAACTTCCTACAATCCGGTTTAATTTCGGACTTCTTTTATGGGCTGGAAAATAATAATCAGTTACTCCGAGGGTTTTGAATTAGAAACTGTATTTTTTCGGTTTGGAAAAAAAAATTAAAAAACAAAAAAAAAAAACAGGAAAGAGAAATTATTCCGTAGGTTCGAATGTCTATGTCACGCTAATGGTTGTAGAACTCATCCATCGTTTTCCTCAGGATTTAACAGATCAAAGGAAAAAACTACATGGTATTCATATACTTACGAAAAGCTATCAATATGCAAAAGACGAGTGAATTTGATTGTTTTCAGCTTTGCCGAAGATTTGCGATTTTGTTTGATTCTTGCACGGATCTGCTCTTAACACGAGCCCAAACAGAACATAGTTTTAAAATGCTTTCTTTTCTTATCAAAGATGTATCTCTCCTACCTAAATATCCCTGGCTTTCCTCGATGGCTAGCTCGGACTCGTCAGCAGGGTGTGTCAAGCCCTTGAAAAAGGCAAGACAACCGAGAAATTAATAAATTTTGGTCTTATAAAAGCTATAATTACTGTCTAATCACAATATGGAACGTCGTGACAACCACAAGGACAGCTCTCAGAGCACGCAATATTCACGTGAAGCTGATAAGTGAAACGCACCTGAAATAATAACCATCCAATCAGTGGGCGCCATATCAAGGTCCACAACGACCAAGTCAGGCATACGCTGACTTTCCGGATTTATTGTGAGTTTTGGAATGTCAAATGTACTTGGGCGATGAATTTTCAAGTTTTAGCCTCCTGTATTTCTGGGAAATTATGCATTCTGACGATACATCTTCAGAGGAGATTTCTAACCTTCTCTGTGAAAGACCTACGTCAACTAAAGGAATCCAACAGCTTCCGAAGTAATGAGCTACGATACATCAGTTGACACAACATCTTACGATCTTATTTACTTTTACGCCACTTTTACTGACTGGAGAAGAATCAGTTTCTGCGCTGGACTTAATAAGAAACTGCATAGTTTCTATTTGGACAACAAAATTGAGAAAAAACGCTATTTGTAGGTTTGAATATCTATGTCACACTAAATTGTTGTGATCCAGCGCTCCATAGTATTCTAAAAGAACAATTTAGAGCACAAAATTACAGTTCATTTAGCTGTTTTGTAAAGTATATGAAGTTTAAAATTTATCCTCTTTTTGTTTTAATCTAAAATTCTTGTCATACTGCAGAAGACTAGGTGTATTTAGATGTATCAAATTTCTGCATCCTTGTAAATGAACAACTCGCGTTTTCACTCTCAAGAATAAACTATTGTTTTGCGTGGTGGAATTTGTTCGACTGCTAGTCCATTTGCAAAACTCGGCTTCTCTACTTTTTCAAGCAAAATACCATCCCTTAATGCCGAGAAAAGTTGTGTGCAGAGAGATCTAGTAACACGTAAACTCATTAAAGGATGTAAGGGTCCTCAATTCAGAACGCTGAAAGCTACTCTGCAGTACTAAAAGATAAAGAATCAATTTGACCGCACCGTCGAGGACTTTACACGAACCTAAACAGAAACAAGCTATAAAATGCTTTCTCTCTCATCAAACATGAATATTTCTTACCTGAATATCTCTGACTTTCCTGGATGGATAACCATTTGTCCGGACTCGTCAGCATGGGTGTGTCCTTGAAATGGTAAAAGAAGCGAAATATCACTAGGCGAAGTTAAAATTATCCGCCAATCAGTGACGACAGAGCTTGACTTTTGAAACCTGATTTGTCGTAAAAAAGCTATATTTATCATCTGACCACAATATGGATCCCCGTGACAGTCATAAGGACAGCTCTCAGAGCACGTAATATTCACGTGAGACTGACAACTAAAATACACCGGAAATAATAACCATCCAATCAGTGGGCACCAGGTCAGGGTCCACAACGATCAAGTCACGCATACGTGGTTTAACCAGGTTAATTATAATTTTTGGAATAAGAGATACACTTGAACAATGATATTTCAAGTGTAAACTCCATGTATTTCTCAGAAATCATGCATTCTAGCGATAAAACATTGTCATTTTTTTCACTTTCCCTATAAGTGACCTTCACCAACTTCAGCTCTTACAGTAACCAACAGTGATATATTTTTTAGAAGACATCTTTCATTACGCATTTACAGTGCAGAGGCTAATGTTAAAGTAAACGAAGATGAAAGTTTGGAATTTATCCTTCACTTTATCTGAACTGTGTAAGACTTGGAATATTGCAGCAGGGCAGATGGTTAATAGGATATCAGGTTTTGTATTTTTTAAAACGTAGAGCTTATGATTTCAATATCAAAAATAAACCTTCGTTTTGCGTGGCAGAATATGTTTGACTGCTTGATGCTCGTGACCGAAAGTTTGCTTAAGGTCTTAAAATATCGCTTCCACTTGCAAAACTCAGCTCCTCTTCCTTTTTAAACAAACCACCATCACTTAATGCCAACAAGAGATTGCGTGCAGAGAGTTCTAGGAGCGTATAAACTGATCAAAAGCAGCAAGGGTTTTCATTTACGAATACTGAAAGCTATTCTGCAGTTTTTGTCGGTTTGACTGCACTGTTGAGGACTTTATACGAACCCAAACTGAGCAAAGTTGTAAAATGCTTTCTTTTCAAACAATGGATCTTTCCTACCTCAATATCTGTGCTTTTCCTAGATGGATAACCACTTGCCCGGACTCGTCAATAGTGTGTGTACTTGAAAAGGGAAGAAAAGCAAAATATCAATAAGTGAAGTTAAAAATATCCGCCTATCAGTGACGACAGAGCTTGACTTTTGAAATCTGATTGGTCACAAAAAAGCTATATTTACCGTCTGACCATAATATGGATCCTCGTGATAGTCCCAAGGACGGCTGTCAGAGCATGCAATATTCACGTGAAGCTGATAACTGAATTACAACGGAAATAATAACCATCCAATCAGTGGGCACCAGGTCAGGGTCCACAACAACCAAGTCAGACATGCGCTGACTATTCGGATTATTTAAAATATTTAAAATATGAGATGTACTTGTGCAATGACATTTCAAGTTTTAGCCTCCTGTATTTCTAGGAAATGATGCATTCTCGCGATATAACATCTTCAGTGGTTTCTAACATTCTTTTAAAATGACCTTCATCAACTATCAGTTCATTGTCTTTCAGTTCTCGAAGTAATCAGCCATCATATATTTTTGACACAACGTCTCACAATCCGGTTTATTTTCAGACAACTTTTATTGGCTGGAGAATAATCAGTTCCTTCGATGGTTTTAAATTAGAAACTGCATTGTTTCAATTTGGAAGAAAAAAGTACAGAAATGCTAGATGTAGGTTTGAATGTCTTTGTTTAAAGTACTGTAAAATACCAATTTGGTGCACACATTCACAATTCATAAGCTGATTTTGTAAAGTTAACTAATACGACGTTTGAAATTTATCCTCCACTGTCTAATATCAAAATTCTTGTAATATTACCGAAGACTAGGTGTATTTTGAGAAAACAAGTTCTGCATTCCTCGACCAAGTCAGGCATACGCCGAAAATCCAAATCCAACATGTTTCTTGAAGTGCAAGATCTACTTAAGCAATGACAATTCATGTTTAAGCTTCCGGTATTTCTGAGAAATTGTACATTCGCACCACATGACCTCGTCATTAAAGTTTTCTAACGTTTTACTGATGTTTAGAGTCTTGAAATCAATTTCATTTTATGGTCCTTGATAGACATTGGCTCTAAGATCTGCTACACTTTATTGGGAATTAAGCACCAACCTCAATCTTTATGAAAGCCAAGATTTAAATCTTGACAAGACCAAGTAGAATATTGAGAGCCCTAGCATGGCCTGCACTGATCGGATAGTTATAATTAGATGGTTATAATTTTCGGTGTAAGGCATTTACCTAGTTGCACGTAAATGTTGCAAAAACAATGCACATTTATTTTCGAGGAGCAACAACTGAAGCAGCTTTGACTTCATTAATGCTTGCAGTGTAAGAATATTGAAATAGGAGTTGACTCAAAAGGTTTGCAGTCCATGAATTATTTTCTAATGAAAGGATGATAAAATTCTTTTAATTCCTTTCATCGTCCACAATAAAAGTTCATAAAACAGAGCAAGTGTATTTTCGAAATCACTATGCATTTAACTTTTGTATATATCAACAGTGCACAGCTCTGATCTCAAAGAGGAACTTTGCTTTCTTTTTTTAAATCTATCGCCCGCTGCAAGTGCTTTCAATATGTTTTGTGGAGGGTAGTTTATCATCTAAGTAATGTTGAGAAGAGGGCTTTCTTATTGTAAAAGGTTAGGAATCGATTATATGTGACTGCACCGTCTACGCCTTCACCGATTGGCGCTAACAGTACAAGTGGTTGTAAGGTTCATAGCTTTTGTCACAAACCTTTGTCTTTTTACCCGAGTATCTTGGATTCACTTTATAGAAGAAATGGTCCTTGATATCTAGTAGACATCTATATTTATACAGGATAGCCCCTTCAGTGTAGTAAACACTGGTATCAACGGGGGTCCTGTTAACCACCCATCCCAGCCCAGGGGAGGACATCCATCACACAGTAATCTCGTGCGTGGGAAATTAACGTCTCCTGCCCCTAACCCTGCAGGAGACGGGACCTCCATTTATTCGTCCCTATCCGAGAAGACTAGAATATCTAACCATTTCTTGATGTTATAGAAAGGGAGCATATTCTTCTCAATTATTTTAGGCCCTATGTGTTGGTCCGGCCGGGGCTCGAACCCTCGACCTCCCGCACAACAGTCCAGCACTCTATCCATTGAGCTAACCGGGAGGCGGTTAGCTCATTGGATAGAGTGCTGGATATCCTCAAAGGTCTGTTTGCCCTGCTTGACACGACGGCGAAAATAAAGAATGAGGAGCAAGGACCCCTGAAATTTATGGTGCTAAGCATGTTAGACGATTTGCTATTAGTTTGAATTTTTTAGTAACGGGTTTTAACTGAGTTCGTAAGACTCGCATCGAAAATTTGTCTTTCTCAAATGAATATTTCGACTGATTTTGAGGTCATAAGCGGAAGCGTTAAACTACAATTACGTGAAGCTGGCTTGTAAAATGCACTAAAGATCTAAGCCATCCAATAAATTACCACACTTTGTGCCCTTTCCGGGTATGAGGAGAACGTTCAAATAACTTGAGTTTGTGGAAATTCACGATGTAGTTGAACAATCGTAAATACAATATCAAGTTTAACCTTTTCCTGTTTCTGAGAAATTGTAAATTGCACTCGATGGCGTAAACATCGCAAATGAAGATGTCCTGTTGCTCTTCAGTCAAGTGTTTCAAACGATATTGAAATTAACCTCATTTACGGTTTCTTGGTTTGGGACCGCCTGTAAATAGCTATTATCGAAACCTTCGCGTAGCCCTTTGAAATATTTTGGGCAACAAGGGCGTTAGTTGACCATGGTCACGATACATCATCCAGTTCTATTTTTTTGCATCTAAAAATTTAATGAGCAAATGACCGATACCCTTAAGCAATCCTCACACTTGAAAAACTTATCATTTTGCCGTATACTCGCGGTAACTATTAAAAGTTTCGTTACTGTAGGGTGATGCCTCAAAACGGTCTATAGTTTCAAATAAGTGTTTAAATGTCTTGAAAGGACGAGCTTATGGACCAGTTTTATAAATGGCTGCCATATAAATATTCTTTTGTTTAAATTTCAGTAGCCCTTCTGGCCTCGCTGGAGATAATGTATTATTTTGAATTTTGTACTGGAGAACGAGGCCAGTAGGGCTAACTTAAATTTAAACAAAAGAATATTAATCCGGCAGCCATTTATGAAAATGGTCTATGGAAAATACACAGTTCCGCTCATTAAAAGCAACTACCCTTTCCTTTCACTTTAATCGTCAGCCATTAAGTCTTTTATTATGTTTTGTGCTAAGAGATACAATCTATAGAGAATTCGCTCCGATACCAACAGCTTTGTTCAGTAAAAAGGGGAAGAGAATGATTTTACTACATTCAACGATCAATTCAAGTTTTGGATAAACTGAGCATCGAAAAGTTTTGCTCTGACCTGAAAATCTCAGATTTCCCGGATGAAGGTTGGCTATCTTGAACTTGACAAGAGTCCTTTAAAAATACCAATTCAAAACGTTTCTCTTTTCTCCTTCAGGTGAGGGAGATAGGAAAAACACACCTGGAATACCGACTCCCGAATACTTTAAGCCACCATTAACAGAAAGACAACGTTTCATTATTTGGAAATCGGATTGGCCATAAAAAATAAAAGATATAAATTCTTTCTGACTTGTAAACTCTCAACCACGCAACATTCACGTGGAGATACACCAGAGATCCAATCAAGTACCACATTGGAAACATTAGACCTTTTGGAATAATTGACCCGATAGAATGACGCGAAGAAGATACCAAAATATCGAATCCTTTCTGACTTGTAAAATCTCAACCACGCAACATTCACTTGGAGATACACCAGGGATCCAATCAAGTATAAAAACTAGACCGTCTGGACTTATCGAACAGACTGAAATAACGCCGAGAATGAAATCGCCACGGAGTGTTGAGTTTTTTTTTTCTTTCGAAGTTATAGATGCTAGCAATTTGCAGTGATTTTGTGTCTGGCTC